CAGTGCATGTTGCGTGAACAAAAAAAAAATTTGTTGTCAGCGATTGCGTAGAATAGTTCGTTCTCTGGAGCGAAAGCACGTATCTCGCCTCTCTGGCTCAGTTTTGAAAAAAAAAAGTCGGTAGAGCGCCCGCCCAGAGCGTCGGGGGTCGACGGTTCGACTCCAGGCTCGGCAAGATTTTTCGCCCTCCGTTTGGCGCTGGTGTAAGGCCTCCGAGCCGACCTGAAGTTCAAGTAGAGTTGGAACACGGCTTACCTCCGTTGGCTGGGTAGCTCTGGTGGCAGGGTCGTTGTTACTGCCCACAGACTAAGCCGGACGGGTCCCCTTCGGGGGGCTTAACTTTTCTTTATTTTTTACAAAACAAAATTACCGTTGTAACAGTCGACCAAAGCAAGCACACACTTTTAACAGTCGAACAAAGTAGGTACACAGTTGTAACAGTCAACCTAGTAAGCACACACCTGCTCGTGCGTGCCTGCATGCACGCTGTTCTGTGTGTGGTACATGGTCGTGGTCGACAGTTGGTTTTACAGTGTATACGGTAACGATCTCTCTTTTCGTACACATGCAGGCCAAATCTCAAAGGAACATAGGCTAACCTCACATTCACTACCTTTAAGTGTAAGAATGGCCATAGGCCAGCCCGCCCAGCAGCTGTATGGAGCCGGCGGCCCGCCTGCCGGTCCTGTAGCGGCTAGCGCCTGCAACACGTTGGGCAGGCCAACCCGCCCAGCGGCTGTATGGAGCCGGCGGCCCGCCTGCCGGTCCTGAAGCGGCTAGCGCCTGCAACGCGTTGGGTAGGCCAGCCCACCCAGCAGCTGTATGGAGCCGGCGGCCCGCCTGCCGGTCCTGTAGCGGCTAGCGCCTGCAACGCGTTGGGTAGGCCAACCCACCCAGCAGCTGTATGGAGCCGGCGGCCCGCCTGACGGTCCTGTAGCGGCTAGCGCCTGCAAACGCGTTGGGTAGGCCAACCCGCCCGGCAGCTGTGTGGAGCCGGTGGCCCGCCTGCCGGTCCTGTAGCGGCTAGCGCCTGCAACGCGTTGGGTAGGCCAACCCGCCCGGCAGCTTTGTGGAGCCGGTGGCCCGCCTGGCGCCTGATATCTACGAGACGCGTCAAAATAAAATGCGTGCTACTGTATGGCCATAGACGGCCGGCTGACCAAAAAGTAACGCACATATAGATAGGTAAACCCATATATATTTGGAAAGAGGAAAGTTCGAGGACTATCATGTCCAGCGAAAATATAGTATGTACTTTCAAAATACTGAAAAGCGGTGTACTGAAGTAGAGGAGGAAGCGAACGCTGGGAGGGAAGGACACACAAACGGGAGGGAAAGGGAGGAGAGGGAGGGGGTGCGGTTGGAATGCCGGCAGTATCGCAGTCTCGTATCGACTGCGCCGTGTGGGGGTGGGGTTGTTGGCTAAGTTGGGGGTGAGAGCGCTACAGGGTTGCGAGAATGACACCCTATTTTGCTTAACGGAAGACCCAGTAAACCACGTCTTTATTTTCTGCGAGAATTAAAAGAGCTTGATAGTAAGTTAAATCAACGCAGCGAAAATATATGAAATGTTCACGCGGTGCAAGTTCACCGCATAACCTCAAATGTCTGATGTAAAGTTCAGGCGTATTTATAATAATAATACATTTTCATGTCTATTTTGTCAGTTGTTGCTACTAGTTAACTGTAATATACTTTTTCCTCTTCTTTAGGTTCTAAGAGAGTGATATTCATGCCATTCATCAATATTAAATATTTATTTATTTAAATTTGTTATCATTTATTGGCCATTAGCAAGAATGGGGAAAAAATCACCTATCAAAGGGTAATTTGATATCTACACTGCACTATTTGCAAATAACGTTGAATATGTATTTTACTCTTTTATTCACAGGTTATCCAAAGTAACTCATAGTGCAACATCCCAAACAGCAAAAGGAAGTACAGGAGGAAGTGCCTGTATGATATGTGGGAAGATCTTCAAATATGAACATAAGATGAAAGTGCATCTTCGTTCACATACAGGGGAAACTCCATTTTCCTGTACCTTTTGTAACAAGGCATTTACACAAAATGCAGCATTGAAGGTGCATATCCGCACTCATACGAAAGAGCGTCCTTACTCTTGTAAAGAGTGTGAAAAAACATTTGCACGGGCTGACCATCTCAATCAACATATACGGTATCAAAAAGTTCATGTTTTCTTCTTAACTTCAAATTAAATGCACAAATTCTAATATCATGTATTACTTACAGAACCCATACAGGAAAAAGGCCATATGGATGTGAGTTATGCCAAAAATCATTTGCTACATGGTCGGCCATTTCCCGCCATAAAGCTGAACATCTTTCCTGTAACAACTACATATGTCAAGTTTGTTCCAAAACTTTCTCCAGGTAACTTTTTGACATTAGTAAACTTGTTACTCTTAGAGCATCAAGATAATTGTATTGTATGAATTTTCAGAACAAGCAATTTGAAGAATCACCTGTTGAAGGTCCATTCACATTCTGAAGACTCTTCTCACCCAGAAGGAAAAGAAACTAGCGCTAAAAAGCTATTAATTCTGCCTGATGTCAGAGATCTCTTAGAAACCCTGCAAGGCGAAGAAGATGAAAAGAATCATTTCCTCTCTGGATGTGTTAAAAGTGAGCCAACAGAAGACAAAACGTAAAATTCTGAATCAGGTCAAGATATATCAAGTGTTTTTGTTCAAATCCTATTTTGTGAGTTGAATGTTTGAGCATTCCAATTGATCTGTTGCCTAATAGGAACCAGGAGTTTCTAGTTTGATTATTATTAATTTTTTTTAGTTGATATTAGTATTAATTATGCATCCAATTGGTAATTTCAGTATCATGTCTCTAAATTTCTATGTTCAGTAAAAATCTCATCCAAAATCTCATTACTATCGGTATTCTATTCATTTTCCCCTCTCCTATCAACCCAATGACCAATCGGATTCAAAGTTTTGCCGCCAGAAGCGCCAGAAAGTAAATTTCTCATACTTTCGTATTTCCTGTTTCCTGTTACATTTGTTGTTGTTGTTGAAGTGGTTGAAGTCGTTGAAGTTTCCTGATTGTTCTATCTCTAAACTCTAAATCCAAACATCTCTTCTTGGTTGTGGTTTTCGTCGTAATTCCCTGCGTCGGTGTCGTTTTGTGCCAAGGAGTAAAAGAAATAAGGTGATAGTTGTGTGGAATTTCAGTAGTTTTCCCTAGTGCTTAGTTTGTTTTCCTCGTAAACGTTTAGGTGCGTTCTGCTCATCTGTCAAAAGATAAAATAAATACTTACATCTCCTTTGTTCTTAGAATTTGTAAATGATTGTGATTTCACTAATATGTGCCGAAGTACTGTCGGATCGTTGCTATCTTGCCACATACCTTTCCTACTGCGGCTATGAAGTCATTATCTAACCTCTCTGTGGCACATTGGAGGATGAATGACTTTTGCACAATTAGCGAAAATTGCAGAATTGGAACTGCATTTGCTTTCCATGCATGGTTAATTTTTGTATTACTCATGATGACATTTATTTCCCAATTATCTTTCAGTTTCCAAAATGATAGAAGTCACTTGCAATGATCGACTAGGCAAGAAAGTACGAGTCAAGTGCAATCCAGATGACACTATTGGTGACCTTAAAAAACTGATATCAGCCCAAACTGGTACACATTGGGAGAAGATTGTACTAAAAAAATGGTACACCATTTTCAAGGACCACATCAAATTAGGTGATTGTATCCTTTATTTCCTTGATTAAGAAATTCTTGCAGGTATGTATTTTACTTAAATTGCAAGGCCCATCTACAATAAGCTGTAAGCCATTAGCCAGAAGCCAAATTCTAAAAGCTGTTTTAGCAAGATGCGCTAGTGCTATCATTTAAAGTTACTGCTCAGATCTTGTCTTACCACATTGAAAAACATCCGGAGTAGAAAGTCAGCTAAGAAACAGTCTGTTTCGCCTAGACTGAAAATCTATAAATATGTTAAACCATGGCTTACAGCATATTGTTAACAGGCCTACATGCCATTTGTACAGCCTTAATTGTGATCCCAGATGAAATCCGTGATGGTATGAATTTAGAACTATACTACCAGTGATTGGCAGTTATACTTGTCATTATGGAAAAGTGTTGTATGTGGAAAGATGAATTGTGATTCTGGTTCTGTTGTGTGTGCAGGAGTAAATGTGAGTGTAGAGCTTGTTAAAGTAAGAATTAATTTATGGAAAAAAAAAACTGTTGTTCTCATACAACTTAAGTGAATACTAAAGGTCTAATATTGACTAATATGGGAATTATTTGAAAATAAAGTACAATTTCTTATATTTTAATCAACTTTTAAGACTTATCTCTATGATTACAGTATTGTGCAAAACTTGTGCAACACTCAAATTTCTGCTAATTACCATGATTGAGTAAAATGATTATATGACAAAATTAAAGCAGTTCTCTAAATACCATCTCTCTGTGGCATGTTAACAATAAAACTCTTCCAAACATGTTTCATAGATTTCAGTAAAATATTTTTTCTCCTTGGTTTCAGTCTTAAATGGGGACTTTTGTTATCTTTATATTTGCTCTTTGGTTACAGTTAACTCCAGCCAGAACTTAAGACTAGAACACTTTCTCCCTGCCATCTACATAGAAATTAAGAATTCAACAGCCCAGACGGCTAAGCCAAAAACCTTCAATTTCTACTACGCTTTCAAAATAGCTTTAGGTTTCCTCATCTGTTAAAATAAAAGTTGAAGACATCATACAGCTAACAGAAACAGGCAATTTCAAAGGGAATTAAGATCATTGTATGCTGACATCTAATAGAAAAATTTAAAATTTGATAAATATGGGATAAATATCCCTAAAAAACAATAATTATTCAAACACTTAATGTGGGCGTTTGAAGTAGACGTCAGGAGTATTGGGTCTTCTGGCACCATGAACAGGAGAAGTAGCTGGAGAAGGAGTAATCTGTCCTTCTCCTCTCACTTGCTTTCGATTCACCACAAACTCACGTATGTGCTGAACAATCAGATCAATCGCCACTGTAAAAAAAATATAATGCACTAGTTAAGTTTAATTGTTCCATATTATTCAAGAATATGTTGTTGTTTTTTAGATTTTTAAAGCTAATGACAGTAACGGTTTCAATATAATAAAACAATTTATTTCATTTGAGAAAGAAAAACAAACAAGGACTGTGTTGGAGGACATAGGCTCTACTCTAAATTATGCTGCTGATGAATGTCCTCAACCAGACCAGTTAATAGGCAAATTAATCACATAAAAACTAACTGAACACAAGTATTATGCTTAGTGAATGCAAATTGGAATTCAATATGATAAAATATTACTTCACAACAGGGCTTATGACAAAAAAATGCTGCCACTTCCTGATGAGCTGAGCTCGGTACAGTACATGAAACTACAATTTTCAACACAGCAGAAAGAGACTTCCTAAAATTTGTACGTTCATAATAATGGTCGTGTTCTTCAACATAGTAGTACATAAGTGAAGAATATTTCAAAACAAAGTCTTTTAGTAATCACAACATACAAATGTACCTTGTCCATGGAAAATGCATTGGCAAACTTTATACAAAATGTTGCACAAAAATGTTAAGTATTCTGGTGAGATTCGTGCAAGAGTAAACAACACACTCAACACTGTACAAACCAAGTGACAAGGCCATAAGGAGGCCTTCCTAGTGTTCCTAATACTATATGCAAGACATGTTCTGTCTCTCCTTATCAAAAATTATGGGTTGAATATAAAAGAAGACAACTTCTGTAGTTCTTACAATAATCTAGTTTGTTTAAGCCAACTGGTATGCATAAAAATGGCAGAAAAATAAATAAAATAAAACAACAACAGAAGCTAAAATTACTCTAATAATCTATGGATGTCTACAGTGGTTGGAAAAAGAATGTCCTGATAATTTTTAGCTTGCAAAAGTACAGTATATAAAATTAACAAACCTTGCAGAACACAGAGTTTGTCCCAACATTGATGAACATGCTAACATAAAAATGACAAGGTCCCAGCAAAAATACATTGTTTCATGAACAAAGGCAACAAAAACCTTGGTTAATTGATCATCAACCCCATAAGAAATATCACATGCTAAATTTGGATAATATAGGCTAAAGCAGATCCCAGCTTAAGCAACTCAGAGTCATAAACTTGCACAAATAGCTATTAGAAAAATAGGTAATTGCTCCATAGAATTACAATTTTACAAAATATTTAAAAAAATAAAGGCAAACAAGTATTTTCCATTTCATATGGAAATAATGATAAGAAGTTGATTAGGTAATTAATGTTTAGGTTAAACCCAGCAAACCACAATGCATAGGCAGGATTGAGAGATACTTCTCAAATGTCTAAATACTAACACTAAATGGTTCTTATGTCATTTCTAAATAAATGGCTGAAAACTGTAGAGTAGGAAATAGGTTGGCAGCAGCTTGTGATACACAACATGTTTCCACTGATGACCATTTCACCGACTTAATGTGTCGGAACTGCCACTAGAACGACGAGTGATTGAGTACTTTTGCTGAATCGATGCTGATCCATGCAAAATATCCCAGATGTGATGCACTATCAGGTCGATTGCCACTGCAACCCAAACAAAATGATTCAAATGAAAGAACATCTGCATCTCTCAATCCCACTCTGTATACCTTACAGAGGTGATGGGTTTGCATTGCAAGTACTACTTTTAAATAATTTTAAAGCATTATTAAAGGTCTGAGAGAGAGACTAGATGACACATTATTTAATTTAGACAATTTCAGGCTGGAGGACTCGAGTACTTAGAGTGGTCCTAAGGGCTTAGAGAAAGTACCTGTTTTCTACTAAATTCTGATTTTTTTAATTTTTTTTTTTTTTAAAGAAGAGGACACATACAGAAATATTATTTACTGTGAAAACAGTGTGTGACTAGAAAAATTGCGTGAAGGCCAAAGTAAGAGTTTTCTGCATGCAAAATGATAAAGCGATTCACTTAACCAGCATGCAATATGGCTTCAAACTAGTGCTTAGTTAAATAACTTTGCAAAATACTTCCTATTTAAGCAACAATATCAGTTCTTTTATTAATTCATTATTTATTATGACCATCTATGGGATGACAAGTGATCTTTTTTACTTCTACCAGATTATGATAGAACTGATAATAGAAAAGAACAAGCAGGTCACATTTATTTTTGACACTTACCAGTGTTGTCTGCTCCACGTGGAATAATGACATCTGCGAACTTTTTGGTCTATAAAATCAAAATACCAATTAATAGAACACAATCTTCTTTTGCAATCGTATGCTTTTAGTATTTATGGAATGCTAAATTTTACCGGGAGACAAAATTCTTCAAAAGCAGGTTTAACATAGTTCATGTACTGGTTGAGAACTTGCTCCAGATCTCGTCCTCTTTCATTAATGTCTCTGGGTACTGAAACAACACATACAATTGTAAGGTAAAAGAATAGATTACATCTGTTAAATGTTATAAATTGTAATCCTCACCTCTTCTTGCTAGCCGTGTGTCAGAGTCAGTGTCCACAAACAATTTCATGTGAAACAAATCTCGGATCTCTGGGAAATAAAACACTAGAATACCTTCAAACAAAACTACATCTGCAGGATAAATTGTGATGAATTGCCCTTCACACCTGAAAGTAAAAGGCACAACCTTCTCAGTTGACAAAGCTATCAAAAAAAGGATGTGGGTGGTTTCAAGGTAAGTTTCAATATAACTGCTACTATACTAATACTTTACATAGTTAGATAAAAGGTAAGATTGTAAAGCTTAAATTTTACCTGGAATTAGTTCTATAATCATAAACTGGAATGTCACATTTTTTGCCAGCCAAAATATCTTTCAATGTTTGAAAAATTAAATCTTCATTAAAGGCATCTGCATTAAAGTAAAAAGTAAGTGGCTCAATTTATCAGGTAATCCAGGAACATAAGTAAAAGTAATCAGAGATTTGTAATAATAACTGAACATGTCAGTCAGATATTTACCAGGATGGTCAAAATTATATTGTCCTCGGTCAGCTTTTGCTTTGTCAGATGGTGTTAGTTCACGATAAAATGAATCTTGGCTGATGGATACTACTTGTCGTTGAGCATTTTCAACATCAACTTGGCCCAGCTTCTCCATGATTCGCTTGCATACGGTGGACTGCGTATACAATCAGAGTAGATAAAGAGTTGATGACATACCAAGACAATGCCTCATTGACATTTGACACCATGGAACGAAGTACAGAGAGGGGGATCAGGGAGCGGGGGATGCCTTGTCAGCTGTCACTGCAGCACAAATAAAAACTCACCTTACCACTAGCTGTTCCCCCTGCAACTCCAATGAGAAATGGAGATTTTCCCTCCACACCATTGATTCTACCATTGTAGCGACCATTAGGACCATTTGTCTTTGGCTCACTGGAGGAGGCTGCCATCCTACAATTCACTTTTGGCCTGCACAACCATAAAGAAAAAGGCACCTTGATTCAGAGGGTAGGAATGGTTTTCTTATATAAAGAAACAATAAGTGACAACATACGACGGGTAAGCTATTCAATGAATGAATTACAACGATAGAATATACAAAATAAGTAAATGACAACGTGCCTGAAGGATGAGCAGAGCGTGGTGAAAACACGTCCTGCGACGAGCTGTCTGCTACGGAATAACACACTCATTATTTTTATTTACTTGGCAACTTGGCCATGAGCTCGAAGGATTTGAGAAGGGTGGCCGAAATCAAATAGAAATCTGGTGTTTGTGATGTTAAAAGGTGGGGAGACGGTACATAAAATACAGTTTTCCCTCAATCTTATCTTCAAAACTTCAAATACTGCTCAGTGGATTGTAAAATGGAGTTGGTAGTGCCGGAAAGAGAAGTATGAAAATATTTTCTGTCATTTCTGTCTTCTTTATTTCACCATGACATGTAACATCGAGTTCCATGTTCGCCGTTGCTGCAAGTTTAAAGAAAGAAGCAACATTTTTGCTTGTAATAAATATAGAAACCAAACAAATGGCTGCCTTCGATGCCAGATGACTCCATGATGCCAGCCATATATACGTTTAATAGCAACGTAAATTTTTCAAACTTAAGAACAACAAAAACTCAAGGAACAAAAACTAGCAACAACATCAACAATAACAAAACAAAAACAAGCGTCAACCGTTGACCGTTGATCGTGCCGTCGCCGGTTCTTTAACTGTTCACAATATCAGAAAACTTTATGTTTTTAAGGGGTTAAATCACATTTACATTTTGTATTAACAAGAATGTAATTTGTTTTTGTTTTTACGCCCTTCGCTGTTCCGCCAGAGTCTAGTTTCTTTACAAAGCCAACAGGCACCAAGTTACACAAGCTGTAGGATTAAAAAGTTGTTTTCAATAAAAATCATAAAAATGGATAGTAAGTATCTCTTTATTTCTCAGTTTTCATTCATTTCTATATCTAGCTTCATTCTTTCTCCTGTTAATCTCATCACATTTTATGCAAATCATCCCTCGTGCCTACGAACTTGTTTTACAATCGTCTCCTGTTTTCAGGTTTCCTGATTGACTTTGACAGTCCCAAACAAAGCAGAGGCAATGTCCCTCTTATTCCAGAAAGTCTAGGTACCTGGAATGCTCCAATGCTGTTTTCATCAAATGATATTGAAAGCAATCCGTTTGACTTGGTTGAGTGCCAGGTTGCAGCCAAAACTGCTGCTGAAAATGACCCATTTGAAATGTGTTTTAGTAATGCCCTAAATTGTAAAGAAGACAAGTCTAAGGACACTGAAGCACCTTTATTTGAATGCTTTAATAACTCAATCAAATCTCCTAAGGCAGTGGCTAAAACTATGTCATCATCATTACCAGACTTACGGAAACTTTCTGGCAAAGAATTGCCCAGTAAAATTCCATCAGGTTCAGGTACTACTAGCTATGAAACTAAAAATCATAGTATACCTGTTGTAACTGCCAATGACTGCATTAAAATTCACAATAGTACGTCTGCTTGGAATTGCTTGGAGGATATTACACCTCCTGACTTTTTGATGAATTCTACCGTCGATATGTCTTGCTTCTTTGATGATACCTTGTCAACAAGTATCATTAACCTGGCAACTCTTGAAGACACCTCTGTTTTGTTAGAAGAAAATTCAAGTCCATATGTTACCAATAAGATTACCACTGAATTAAAAGGAAGTCATCAAGCCACTTATAAGTCAGATGAAGAGCTCAGGTTGTTGACTCAGAAGAAGATTGAAAATCTTATCAATAAGGCCGAAAAAGATGTCGAACATGAAATTGAAGAGTCATTGGTTCAAAGGAGGCGATCGATTCAATCACTAAGCAATCCAAGTCCAGAAATTTTAGCTTTGTGTACTCCTAGGAAGCAGTCATTTAAAACTGATCAAACAAATTGGTCACTAGAAAAATGGTCTGAAAATGAACTTAAGAAACTAGATCTCATCTTGCCCAACACATCTAATAAACCTACAAGATCTAAAAATGGTAAGTACTTTACTGCCACTAAATTATTCTCTCACTGAAGTTTTTTATCCTTTATAGATTCTTTATTTTCATTTGTTAAGATTCTTCTCCTGCTGCATATTTGAATGTTCCCCGTCTCTATATTGAAGAGGAATTGTGTCTCAGCTCATTGGTAAGTATTGAGAGAGTTTTCAATTGACAGGTATCCAAATTATATTTTAAAAAATAAGTGTTGTTTTTATCTATCTAAATAGCCAATTATTTTAAAGAGCAGTTTCTATTTTCAGAAAATATCTACTCTGGGAGACACTTGCACACAAACATCAAAATCACCTCGGCAATTAACTCCAGTGAAACAGAAAAGTCTAAGTCTAAGCAATCTCACGTCTGGAACTGATTCTGTGAAAAAGACTTCATCTGTATCTCCCTCTTCCATGTCTCCAACTCTCCTTCCTCTTCCTCTGTGTGAGGATGCTGTGAGAAACCTAAGTTTGTGCTCAAAATATTCTCCATCTCAAGGGAATTCTTTGAACCAACAAAAGATAGGCAAGTTCAAGAAATTTCTCAATTAAATTCAGATTTAAAAAAATAATCCATCAATTTGCTTTTTACTTGTTCTTTACCTCCCCTTACTTTATATGCCGTGAGGTAAAAAGAACGAGTATTGTCCTTGGTGTGGTATAATTTAGAAACATCTATTCATCTCTGTGAGTAAGGAGCTTACAAGTATAAATGAATGCTTTTTCTACTCAGGGAATCAGCCCTGATATTCCATAATAGAGGTTTTTTTCAGTTATCAGTCAAAAATTTTACTGCCTAGTAAATTTTTTTTAAGTGTTTTTAGAGCTATGAGCTATGTGGTATAGCCAGACCAGCCTTGTTCTGTCTTTTCCTCACCCCCTCTCGCCTGCAAACTCCTATGCTGCCCGTGCTGTGAAAAGACGGACCTTAGGCTGGTCTCACTGTAGTGACTGTGAATGCACCATTATATCATTATACAGTATACAATACTGCATATTTACAATCATAACCACATGAGAGTGCTAAATTGTTGCTAAATGTTTCACTACAACTTTACTAACTTATAATAGATGTTTCTATGTTGTCACACATCACTGAAAACACATCATATATTCAGGGTTGGTGTAAAGAACGAGTTTATCTTTTTAACAGCAAATTAATTTGATGTTTCCTGTGCTCCTTGTTTAGATTCAGGTAACACTCAGCGGAATGTTATTGCACATTCAGGCAAAGAGCAAGCCAAAATAACACTCCGAAAGCCTGCAATCCCTCTTAAATCACAATCTAAAATGGCTCCTATGAAAGCAACAGCCCCTGTTCAGAACATGACAAGAATAAAATGTAACTTACGTTACTTTCAAAATGGAAAATATTTTTTAAATGCTCACCATTATTTATACATTTTATGTACTTTGTTCACAGCATCTCTACTTACTTCTTCTAAGCCTTCAACCAGTATTGTAAGTGGAAGGAAATCAGCCTTGAAGGTAATTATTGAGATTCACACTCTTTTTACGTTGGATTCACATTTTCTTTTCCATCTATAATAATTATTCTGTCATGGTAGGAACCAGCAACAAGTCATTCAGTTAATAGGTAAGAAGAAACATTGCAATTTTCAATTTTCCCATGAAGACCTTTTCCCGGATTTATTACGATCCACCTTCACAATGATAAGATTTTCACACAAATTTTTCTTTTTTTCCTGTAAATCTTAAAGGATGGCACAGTCACCTAGGCGCACTCTGAGTGGGTCACTTCCAAACCTATCCAGTCAGGGAAGTAAACCTCCGACTAAACTACCATCACCCCGAAGATCTGGATCGGTTTTACCTCCTCATGCTACCAACCTGAAGAAACGATCTGAAAGTATTAAAGAGAAAAATTCACACCAAAACTCAGGCTTATCTTCATCCTTTCACCATTCACCGAGGCCACTTCGCAAGAGCTCTTCCTGCAGGACAGGAAATCACGCTCGTGTCTTGGCTGAAATAAACACCTGCCCAAGTGCCCGGATGTCACCTAAATGCAGAGTTAATCAAGCGGTATGACCATAATATTATACACCTATCTGTTACAGATTACGGTAGATAGTTATTAAATACTGAATTTTGTTCCAATAGGAAACTCCAAGAAGAGGACGTTCTATGCTGACTGAAAAGGAAAATTACATGTAGCGGTTCATAATTCATACAATTCTTGTTGGAAACTACATTTCCAGACTTTCCACTTCATAGATTTAGTAAGAGGTATTCATATTTCAGGAAGTTACCTCGAAGGCAGTATTATACATTTAATAACCTGCATTTGCACTGATACATCCATGTCATAGTTTGTAATGAATAACGTAATTGTTAATGTTGTTTTTGTGGTTGAGGTAATCTTGAATTTATTTTCCAGAATCCAAATGTCTTATTTTGCTTCTAATAAACAATATGTGTTTTAATTCAGTTGTGTTTACGGTGTTGTAAATTTTTAACTCTGTGAAGGACAAGTTGTAGCATGAAAAAAGAAGGTTATATCTCAATTCCAAAGTACAGGCTGTAGAAGGTATTTATTTATAAAGATCTCAACAATTGGAATTCCAGAAAAATTGCACTATGTAGTGTGTAATAGTTCATTTTCTGATCTACAAAAGCATTTACATAATCTATGTGCCGAAGAACTGAAGAGAGAAATTTAGGGAAATCACATTTTGTTACGATCTGAATATGCAAGGGGTTGTGGAACAATTGGGGGCTTAGCAGACTCAGATTTTTTCACTATTTGATGAGGGTCAGGAATCATCTGAAATTGAAGAGAATCTCCTTAATTTTCTATCTGAAATAAGTTTAGTTTTCCTAATTTGGAAAACAAATAAAAATTAGAAGGTAGTAACACCAAACACAAGTAGTGTCTTACCTTGTCTGCCACATGTTTGTGAACAAGTCCATCACCTTTCACATAATATGTTGAAAAACCATCAATCCACCTAAAAAAGAAAAGAAGGTTCAAGCACTTTTCAAAACCTACTGATTTATTAATCGTACCGCTATTCAAAAACTTACGTTTGTTCACTTTCTTGGATATACTTCGCTAGATCCCAAAATTTTATACGGAATATTTTACTAAGCTGAAAGTTTACAGGAATTAGAGGTGTTGCAAACTTCACACGCCCAAGTTTTACTTCACTTACTGTAAGATTGACTTACTCTAATTACATTAATCTTCCAGCGCACTTTCACAGTTCCATCTTCTGGGTGTGCTGTAATTTTCAATACATCGAGTCTGATGAATAGAAATCTCAAATGACCAATAAGATAAAGAAGTTTTGCCTGTAAATTATATTGGTCACGTCCACTGCAATAAAGAACAATGTCAAACTTGCTGATATCTTGGACAATATGACAGCATACATCAAGCAAATGTAAATGGTTTCGTTACCTAAATCTCCTGCCCCTAATATTATCTTCAAGTATAATATTAGGGTGGTAAATCTTGATGTTAAAAAATCTCGTAAAGAAGTTTGGTAACTAGAACAACAGAAATATGATTTTGTTTTCAATTACTGTCGCTAATACAACTTAAATCTCTCAGTCATAACTTTTACTTACATCGGTGGACAGAGTTTGAACTATATTGTCTAATTGTCCTTCACTAGGAGGCTGAAAAGGGTCTTCCGATTTGGTATTGCTACTGCTATTTAGTTGTTTCAGATGTAGCTCTGTGAGTTTATTACCAGACGATAAGTTTGGGTCATCTGAACGAGAATTGCAAAGTGCCGTTTCTTTATGCTTCTTTATATCAAATTGTGAGTATTTTGGATCATTGAAGACAACATTGGACTTGAAATCAACCGGGGTACCAATATTTGGCACCCCATATGAGCTAGTAGCACACTGGCAGAGAGTGGTTGGGAGTCTAATAGAACTAGTACGGTTGTCTTCACAGTCAAAGATTAAGTACGAAATGTATCTTATGACATCAGAGTCACAATGGACTGTGAGAGTTTTCCCTTGTTTAAAAGTTGTACTTCCAAATGATTGATGGTCTAAGGGCAGAGTCGAGGAGGGAAATTCACCTCTCCCATTAGTCTGCAACAAGAAATTGAGAAAATTGAGGTATGATGCATTACCACGGTAGAAGAAATGGGGCAGAGATGTGCATGTCAATTAACGAGCAAAAACATAACCTCCACGCAAGCAGAAGACACTCTCGGCCAAGGGCCCCAAACATGAAATTCCGAGGAAGTTGGCTGATGACAACCCATCAAAATGGAATAAGATCTTAAGTCAAAACTAAATGAATCGCTTTTCAATGCCTAAGTTTGAAGTTAATTGGAAAAAACACGATATTATGCAAGTTTAAAGTGATGAGGTTATGTGTACATCATTCCCATTTTCATCTTGCTTTTGCTATTAACATGGCACATTGATAATTCCAGACAATAAAGCAACTCTAGAAATGGCATAGTTACCTCTTGAAGTAGAGGAGACGAGACTGAGTGTCTAGAAATCTGCCTGCTGCAGACAGAAACATGGTGTCTGACGACCAGCGGCACAACTGACGGCACCTTACTTGTCACATATTTCAGGCAGGAAGCCATTCCTGAACCATGTTTGATCATATCTGAGGTTTCAAACGAATTTTAATTCCTTTGAAATTTACTTTGATTCACGTCTGTCTAGCCTCAAAAGATTTCATCAGACATTCGTGATCAGCCATGTACTCCTTCACTTTTCTCACTCTCCTCCCCTCACTTTGGTTATTGTTTCGTCATGAGTCGACACTAAAATTGAATGAACATAGACATTGTTTCTCCGCATCGGCATTTAGTGTATGCCGATTTCTGGACAACACAAAGCTCTTGTAAAGTGATTTCAAGACTTTCGTTCGTTGCTTTTTTGCTGTTATTAAAACCCAGGCCCAGTCTCTACGGGGGCGCCCTCTCTCGGCGGGTCATCGAATCCACGCATCCACCAATGGCCTAATGGCGGAAAGACACTCCAGTGATGGGTTAGATTTACATTCTTTTTCGCATTATTTCAAACAAGTTTCTTAATTTGGAGTAACAGCAATTTTTCTACGCACTGAGGTAATCTTCTAACGACATGCTATCAAATCACACCTTGTTCCGGTGTTGGGGTAAAAATAAAGTGATAATGAGGAGAGGTGTGTTTGGAGGAGAGCCTAAACCAACTCCGGATGTATTCTTTGGGGCTCAACGAATTGAAGAATGATGTATTCTTATTCTTTCTGTATGGGCCACGTACCTGCCATTATTTGTTTTTTTGAAACATGTAATATTCAAAGATTCTAGTAAGTTCCACCAACTATAGCTGGAAAGTGTTTGTTGTGCTTGGTCTGCCAGGTTTGTTTTGGACATGATAGCTAGTTTTCACTTGCCCTACTCAGACATAAGCTTACCTGAAACCTTTTGTGTTATTGTATCTATTCTTTTACGGAATAATTTGCTGTAAAAGTACTGAAATTTCTGTTAGTTTGTTTGAATCATGAACATCTTGTCAAAATCAAAACATACCCATGTAGAAGGATGACCACTCTTCTGCACCTGTTATTAAATTGTCTTTGGATTTATCTCTTGTTTCTGTTAGTTTTATTATGGACGCATGAAAATCATGTGTCTGCTTGTGGATAGTAGATGGCAATTTACAATTGTGAAAGATCAGTTAAACATTTTTGGTTTGCCCTTCATTTTGTATATCTATATATGCATATAACATCATTCAATGCTTTTAGATATCAACATGGAGGATAACGCATCTGCATCATCCCTTCAGTGGGACATGCTTGATCTAGCTGACCGTCTTCGCCAGGAACGACTTTTTGTGTCTTCAGAACAGGAACACTTAAAAGAACTCAATGCCAAGGTAAAATTATTATAATGTTTACGTTATAATTTACGTTGTCTCTTGATGGCTCTATGCTAAATGATTTCTTTTGCAGGTGGTTTCAGTTTCATCATGTTTAGCTCAGAAGGCTTGGATCATGGTTCAGCAAAGGGCAAACCTGAATAGACTTATATTAGCTAGGCCTGACTGTCCTCCTTCAGTTTGTTGCCAACGTGCAATTGCACTTGAGGGCACTCAGTTTATTGATGGAGACAAAGAGCTCCCTTTCCAGGTAAGTCATAAATCAGGGATCAGAAAGAATTTTTTAAATAATGGTGATGTCCATTTTGATTATTGATTTCATGTTTCCTGACATTTTGTTACTGTCCCCCACAGGATTGTCTATCATTTGGTGAATTTATGCAAACATTGCGTACTTCACCCCACCTCCTTGCAGCTTGTCTTGCTGCTGGTGATAGACTCATGCCAGAAACAATGCCTACAATCATAAATACTCTGTATGGAGGACTGTTTGGGTCTTGTTTGTTGCCTGAAGACAAACTTCTTGTCTTACGTCTGCTGCGACATTTGACACAGATCCAGCTTGTGCCATTGGAAAATCCTCGAAGGTGGCATAGTAGAAACATGTATTTTCTACCTAACGATATGTAGCTAACTTTAAGATGAGTTTAATTCTATCCATTTCTTTGTATGTTTTCTACCAGGATGCTTAGACATGGTTCGTCTGCTCTTGCCAGAATGTATGCTTTATTCCATGAAGGTCTGTTCTCCGCTAAAATATTTTTAACAGCAGCATTGCATGATCCAATTATGCAGTTACTCATGGAAGATGAGTCCTTTCTAGACATTGACCCTGACAAGGCTGTAGTGAGGTAAGTTCTATTGGTTTGTTGACTATTGATTTGGGAATATTAAATCTGTTTAGATAGTATATCTTTCTCTTTCTGTTTTTTCCTCTCAGATTTGCTCCAGATGAACAGCTGAAAAAGTTCGGCAAGAAAGGTACACCAGAATATGACTTGCGCTTGCACGAATATCGCAGTTGGACAGTGGTCAATCTTGTGGGATTAGTGCAACATTTTGTCGTTAGTCTGAGAGAAAATATGCATTGTTTCCCAACTTCTATTCGATGGCTTGTTCGGCAAATATCAGGGATGCTCAGCAAATCTGGACAGCTGAAACCTAAGGAGGTAGTGTCTAGTATGATTGTAATTTTATTCTCCAATTTCGACTTTCAGTATTAATTGTTTGTTTGCAACTTAAATTTTTCAGGTCTTTGACATCTGTGTGGACCTTATCTTCTCCTTTCTGATTTGCCCTGCAATTGTAAATCCAGAGCAGCATGGTATTACTGATGCACCTGTCAGTTATATCGCAAGATTTAATCTAATTCAGGTTGCTCAAATTTTACAAGTCCTGGCCTCCCGCAAATATCAAGATGTGGATCCTAAAGTGTGGGATCTGTATTCACAATTCGATAAAGACATATTGTCTTCTCTTGTTGATGGACTCTTAGAAGGTGCAGCCAACGGACTCTTGGAAGAACCAGTCATATCAGAGAGTAGTAAATTACAAGGACTGTCCCGCTCTGCTGCTCTCTTGACAGAGGCTGAGCTCTATGGCTTGGTAAGAACCTGTGGTAACCTGTATTTTTCATATTCATTAATTCCAGATTTGTGCTTCTGATGTTAACTTAAAACTCATACTGTTTTTAGGTGAATTTCCTCCAGATGGTCCAGGCTAGTACTAGTCCTGATGCAGCTGGACTCTTTGATGAAGCTGGAGTCGACAGGAAACTCCTGGCAGCTCTTCTTGCACAACTTCCACCAACAGCCATTGCTACTGCTGCATCTTTTTCACAGCCTACCAGCAACATGAATGGCAATATGTCATCTCCATCTGGTGGTCCAGCTCAAGGTCCTTCCTCCTCAGGAAATAATTCTAAGCTAAACAATTTGTCTCCTCCACATGCAGCAAATGGGAATGGGTCCTCACCGGACACGCCCAACAGGAAGGCTAGCATAATAGGAAAAGGTAAGCAGTTTTGTGAAAAGATATTATTTATGTAACTGATCACACTTGAATTTGTCTCTTATTTATATATTCTTATGCTTTTTAGGGGTTGCAGTAGCTATGAGTAAAACTTCAAAGGCTATCCGCAGTGTGGCAGGGTCTGGTGATAGTGTTGATGAAAACCTTGGAAATGAGGGTGTTGAAGATGGGTTGGATGTGCCAAAGTACAGTGTGCTGGTCATACCCTTCTCTCCTGATAGGGGACAGTATGTTGGCCTTCTCCCTGAGCAGAAAGTATGTTAAAACATAAATTAATAAGACAGCATTCAATACACACATATTACCTATCACTTTTGTACTAAATGCTCAATGTGTTTCCAGGTTTTGAACATTGATTGTGAGGCACAAAAAAATATCCCAACTGGATCTGCTGTCCACCTTAGTGTGGCTGGTTCATCTTCTGTAAGAGTACTGGGCATTCCTCCTGAACGCTCAGAGAGTTTGGAGAAGCGCACAAGGTTCTCTTTATCTCATGACGAAGGGTCAATTGGTATGGACATATCTAACAAAAATTTTAACAATAAAAATAAAGCTCCAAATTATAAAGTTTTTTGTTTTGTTTTTGTTGCAGGGAACACAAGTGACAATCTTGAAGCAGTTTCAGAAGCTGCTTCTAACCATAGTGTAGCTTCATCTCTGGAACTAGAGAATGAAGATCAAGATCAAAACGACAACTTGTCAGACATGGTGTCAGCCAATGTGTCTGGAAGAGGAACTCCCAATATATCAGGTATTATTGTTTTGCTATATAACTTTCGCTATCCTACCAACTTGCTCAGTTAAGGGTGAAGGAAGATGTACAAAAATCGAAGTTTTTCTAATGTTTTCTTTTTTTCTATCTCTTCTAGGACGTGATACACCTTCTTCACAGATCACAGAGGGTGATGAAGGAGCAAGGAATGTTGCCATTGAGCCACGTCCTAACTATGATCTCCCACCTCCACCACCTCCAACCAAGCAAAGCCGCTCCGATATTGATGATAAATTTGGAAAGTTTGAAATCAAAAAATTGCTTGAAGGTGATGAGACTACATCTCTTGTTAGTGATACCTGGAGCACAGATGTCCTTGCCAGTGATAGTGAACTGATTGAGCAAAGTGATAGAGAGCGTGAGCGTGAACGTGAACGCAACTATGCTCAACAACCCCCCTTGTTGCCACTCGCTTTACAGCCACCTTTAGTCCCACTTCCAGGTATTTTACCTGGTCCTCCTGGTTCAGCTCAACAAGTAAGGATGCCAATTTTTTTGTTCTTGGTAGAGATACGTTTTGTGCAATATCCTAACTTTCTTCTGTTTCTTTACAGAGTTTGATTGATATGTCTGAAACTGCTTCTGAAGCATGGAGCACAGATGTTCTTGCTTCAGACTCAGAGCGCATGCTTGAAATAGACACTGATGATACTAGCAGTGTTGCTAGGTCGGTAAATTTGGAGGGTTGGGTTGTGATTTGGAGTGATTTACTTTGTTCATGTTATTCACCTTTATTTCATTATATTCTGACTTAGATCTGATGATACCGCAAGATCGGAGGTTGAAAGCCGGGGTGAACCTGAAGGTGGTGATGATACCCCTCCATGTGAGTTCTGTTTTTTTTAATTTTTTACAATATCTCTTCTTTTCTTTTTATTACTATAACTTCAGGATGTTCCATAAGCCCCGTCCCTTTTTTAACCTTTTTCTCTTAAACTGTGCCATGTGCATGCATGCCTACTTGCTCGGGGCTGAACTCACCAGCATGCATGCATGTGGTACAGTATGACTAAATTAAAAGTACAGGGCCTATTGAACATCCTATGAACTCTATTTTGGGTTTCCAGTGAGTTCAGCTGGTGCTGCAGTTTTTCGTCCAATTCGAGATGAAGGCAGACCAGCAAGCGTGTCTAGTTTGGCTAGTTCTGCCAGTGGAATGGTGCCACCTTCCCCAACGAGAAGTGATACTGTTGCTCATCATTCTTGGAATGTAACTGGAAGAGGAGGGGGCCGTGCAGATTATAGAAGACGCACCCTTGAATATATTGATAACAATGCTCGTGCACAAGCAGCTGCCATCAGCCGACCAAGTAAGTGTAGTCTCTGCCTGTTTGTTTTTGTTTCATTCTTTTTTCCTCAATTTCAAATTACCTAATACTGTCCTTTTTTGTGTGCAGCTCCATTGCCCATCACTCACGAAGAGACTCGCATTCCACCAATTGGCCGCAGTCAAAGTGTTCCAGTTTCACCACCTCTGTCTGCAGTCAGTGATCCTACCACAGCCTCTCCGTTGCTTCGTCCTGAGCCATCTTCCACCCCTCTAAATCCGCTTTCAGTATCTGCTTCCTCACTGATTCCTGTGCCTTCCAATTCCACACCATCCTCCTCCAATGCTTCAATGCTTCCTGGACCTTCTGAGGTAAACTATATTAAGGTCCCTGTGTGACGGGATTTTACAGTTTTTCTTTGGCTCCAATTTAACACAAGACTTTATCTTCCCAGGTGTTGATTGACATTGATCGGGGAGATGAAGCTGCTTCTCAGATAGCAAGTCATGCCAGCACAGCGAGTTTGACTTCCTCGAGTAGTAGCGCTGGCGGTGCCAGTGGTGGCCCCAGTGGAAGTGGTGGAAGCAGTAGTGCACAACCACCTCCACCTGCACTGACCTCAACACCCACTCCGGACTTGCCAGCTCCTGCGCCCGTGCTAGCCAACGGTAGTATTTGTGGGGTTGGCGCTGTCCCTCGTACAGGCATTGCTACTGGAGCCATTCCGAAGAGCATCAGCTTTGACAAGACGGCTGAAAGAGGAGACAAAGTATGGATATCCATTGACTTGTTAGAAACCTACTAAGTGTACTCTCAACATTTTTCAGATCAATGTTTTTATTTTATTTTCAGGAGCTCCTGGATGATGACCAAAAACACAAACGTGGTTTCTTCAGAAACTTTAAACTAACATTTAACAAGAATCGTCGTGGGAAAAGTCTAAACCGGTCTGGTGATGACATGGGGCGGTATGACAGTCTGGATGGTGACGGTCCGCATCTCCGTCTGAGACGTGGGCCTCCTGAAGAAGAAAAGGGAGCTTACGCTGAGTCTTCCGAAGACATCCTTGCCAAGTATCGTCGGAAGCCCAGCTCTGGTGCCGATTCAGCTGCTTCCGAGTCATCCGGGAGGGTACCGCTGTCCGCTGCTAGTCTCTCTGAACGCGACGCAGAGCAGGGCAGGGAGGACGAAAGGCTTTTTATTGATCCTAATAATGTGGAGGCATCTTACGCTTTCAAGGATGCAAAGAGAAAACTTAGAATGGTCTTAAGCACTGCCGATCTGCATCATGTGCCCTGGCGCTCTCAGTGCCCTAACAAAGTTGTAAGTACACCTAGATTAAGTTTAAAATTCCATGGATGTTGATATTTTATTAAATCATTTTGCCCATTTTAGGATGATCCATTGTTGAGGAAAGATAATGAGTTGATTGCATTTTTGAAAATGCAGCTGGCAGAGGCCATAAATTTGCAAGATCGAGCTCTAGCTGCCCACTTGCATGAAACATTACGCTGCATTAAACTGTTCAACAATGATGGGTTAGTTTTGCGAAGATGAGCCATTTTAAAATAAATTACTTCTGTTTTTCCCTTCATTCTTAGATGTTTTTCAAACTGTTTCCAGATGTCAGAAACTTTTCCATTCTCTTAAAGAGGACTATCGACAAAGAACTCCTTATACTGCATATCTTGTCAGATGCCGTCAAGGTTTACTATCCACCCTGGCTCATCTTGAAAGGTGTGCACTAAACCTTTTTTTAAATTTCAAAATAAGTTCAAAATAATTTCCAATCTTATTAATCTAACTTCTTTTTTTTTCCCTTAGAATGATTGAGCGTATTAGATGTGAGGGAGTGATATGCAATCGATGTATTGTTTCGGTGTGCGTCCGAATGTTCTTGGAAAGAAGGGAAGGACAGGTCAATGACTTTACTCTGGAGTTCCAACAGCTAACCCTTGCAGATGAAAAAACAGATCTTCTAGAGAGATTTTTGCTAACTGTTGCTGCTGATATGGAAAGAGATCCATTCTGGTCAGGTATGTATTTTTCCTTTCACAAGTGTGCTTATACATGTAATTTTCAGTGAAATGACTATTATGCTGACATTTTGGTACAATTAAAGGTGTTAACAAAGAGCAATTAGATCAAGCTCGGACTGCAATTGAACAAGCTATTATAAGCAGAGTATATCCATATGCTCTGTATCCCAATGGGGAAGGTGACATGTTACGCGATAAGTAAGTACTTTTCACTGTGACACTGTATCTTATATTAAAATTTTGCTAATTTGTAGATTTTATGTTCCAGAGTGCTTCATAATCATATGAAAAAGTTATCTGAAATTATTACACCAAACCACAAAGATATTGATATTGCCAAGGTAAAATTCCAACTTTTGTATTACTGCTGAGTAAGTTACTGTAAAAATAATTCCTAATATCTTTTATCTGTCTGCTACTTGCAGATGTTTCACTATGAGTGCCCATGGCCTTCCGCCCAAGCAGAAATTGCTTCCATCTCTGCATACAAGACACCTCAGGACAAGCTGCAATGTGTGTCCCGTTGTGCAACTACAATTATGAATTTGTTAAAGATGGTTCAAGAACGCAATGTTCCAGCTGCTGACGATCTTGTTCCTGTGCTGGTTTTTGTTCTTATAAAGGTATGTACTTAGATAAACCCCTGCAGTAACCAAATTAATCGGCAAAATTTGAATTCTTTCTTTTCTCTTTACCAGGCTAATCCACCAGCTCTCCTATCCACTGTTCAATATGTGAACACATTTTATGGAAGCAGATTAGAAGGAGAGGAACATTATTGGTGGACTCAGTTCTGCTCTGCCATTGAGTACATAAAGACCTTGGACTACAGGGATTGATCAAGTTCACGCCATGACATCAAATATGAATCATTTGGGAAGACTATTCTTGATTAAAATCTCCAGTCAATGGTTTGGAGATTCATTATTTTTAATGGCATGGAGTGGATAAGTTAAGCTGTACTCACAGTGGTGGGCAGGGCACTGACCACTGGGATTACTGATTATCTGCAAGTGTAATTGCAGACTCATAAGCGTTTTAAATGACTGAATTAATCAAAATGATATTAGAGGATAGAGCATGGATTCGATTACTTTTATATAAGACAGTTTAATGCCTTATCATTATCATGTGTTGGTAGAGAATTGAAATCACATCTGTATTTACTATTTTTGTATGGCCACAACATTCAATTACTGACAACTCCCTGTAAAATATTAAATTATTTCATTACTTCTTGTAGTCTATGAAGGAAACATTCCCTGTCTGTGATGGCCAATTTCAGTGTGGTGCTAAAGATCTTGTATTCAGTAAGTGGAGAAAACTGAAAAAAATGACATATTACATATTATTGATTCTTCTGCGTGGTGTAGAATCCCGTAGACACTAGTTCCTTGTGTACAGCAATATAAATGACCGTAAAATTATTTTTGTGCTTCATTGCCCTTTTTCTATCTAATCTAATTTTCCATTCCTAGATTATACTGTAATAATCTTTATTTTGTTTAAAGCAAAGTTGGATAGGCTGAGTTTAATTTGCCAATTTGTTTCTTTTTCCCCAGAATATTATGTTCTTGAGATTTTGACTTAGTACATGAAATATTACTTGTTTGTTAATGTCTTAAGCTTTTGTTGCATTTTTATATGGATAAGGTATTATTAGTTTGTGTTCAGACCTTCTTTTTTTTTTTGAAGCAAGGTATTCTTTCCTGAACCTACACATCTATCCCTCATTTGAATCAGTTGTTTGCTTCTTCAAACACCTCACTGCCATTCAAGTGATGGATAAATGTGTTTGATTGTATGGTACTCTGGATCCTCTCCGTCTGTGCTGTTTCTTCCACTCTCTTGAAAAGAGCTGTTTAATCATCAATTTAACACGTCACAAAGGCATGTCGGTGGCTTAGGTATGGTATTAAACATTGCTTGAGTATTGTTATTCTTTGAAATCTACTTACAATTTAATTATGTTTTTAAGCTATTCATCTTTTTTTTTTTGATACTTCTTATGTAAAGTTATTGTCTTGTGTTTATGTTTAGTTGTGGATTATAACATTTAGGGTTCTCCCCTTGTTATGTGTGCAGTCACTGCTGGTCAGTCGCATTATTATTAATAATAAATTTGCCTAGCTAAACTGATAATGTGTGTTGTTTTCTGAATCGCCCGAAGCAGAAGCCACGGCTCTTGTCTGAGAGGAGAGGAGGTATTTTTTTAATTGGTAAAGTGAGGGCTCACACGCGCGTGCACATGCCCGCATTATATTAGGGGAGGGGACGCCATAGGTCTCCCTCCAGCATGACACTGGAGTTGCAAACGGGCAACGGGAATGGCCTCGGCGCACCCGTGAACTTCCGAGTACTGATTCTCCGGAGAGACGTCATCGACGATACCATGAGATCCAAGATGGCATGAAGCGGATACCGGAAATGGCTCCAGTACATCCGAAAACCTCAGAACCGAATTTGGTACAAATGGGCGCATTCACTCGTAGTCTGTCCGTGCTGCACGTGCGCCGGGAGCGTGGGCAACCCAACGTACTCGATCGGAGCGCGCTGGACTCTAGCCGCTGTTGGCCACTACCGCTCGAGCGGCGCTAACTTTTGGCGGGAAACGAAACGAACCGTTTCGTCGAATAACCGCGCATCGCCGCCGCATCCTGTTCCTTTTGGAATTGCAGGTTATTTCCTGGATCCACCTCTTCGTCACACACAGTCAAGACGACTAGATTTAGACGGTGACTTCACGTTAATGCAGGACGAACGTGTCGCGTCCCTTGGGCGGGCACGCAAACTCCACGCAGGACCAGCGCAGGCGCAGGACGACACCTTCCGCGGCCAAAAAAAAGGAAGTGAACTTCTCTGATTGTCGCCTATTTTTTCCCCCAGTCACGAAATCGACTGTTCGCCAACTAAGTTGTTTGTTCTTCCAAAATAATTTCCCACGACATGCCATCGTGTACCGGCGCGCCTTGAGCTTGAGCTCCGCACCGGCAAGGGGCGCGCCGTGAGCCCACACCTCCGGAGCACGACCTGTCACCCGCGGGGGCACGGCACGGCACGGCGGGCACGGCGGGCACGGCGGGCAGGTGCTTATTTCCGACTCCGACGCACCGCGTATTTACTCGTGTTTACCCCGTCTTCCCGCCCAGCGCTTGAACTCCCCCCCCCCCCCCCCCCCCCCCCCCCGGACCCCCCCCACCCCCCCCCCCGGTGCGCTGGCGACAAGTAGGAAGTGAAATGGCCGGGGTTGTCAGGAGGCGAGCGGAAGACTACTACCGACGAGACCCGCCCTGGAGCCCACGGCAATGACACATCTTCCCTTTTCCGTCTATAGGTCTCCGTCCTCCAGCTTTTGAGGATGGCCTTCACGAGCCTCCCAGTGCAGGCTAACTGCGCTTCTTCTACACCTCAAAGTACTTATACTTAATTATTTTGGGGGAGAATGCTAACGCGCACAAGTGAAGCCCTTTGGCCCTCACCTATTGCACGGGATAACGTCCAATGTCAAGCACCCCAGATGCAGGAAATTGGCCTTCCGCATACAGTAGAAAACTTCCCCACATGAGCCAGGCACAAACCGACACACAGAGCAGGTGCGGATTTCGCGATTAATTTTTTCCACGCTTGCGGCTTTATGAGGGAGGATTAATCGACAAAAAAGAAGTCGACGTCGCAGCCCCGAGTCCCGGGTAAGGAGGGTCCCGCCTAGTGATAAAGCAATATGTGCTGCGCTGGCAGAGGGGGTGTGCACCCCCGTGGGGTGCCTACACTGGAAATCCAGGGTGTTCAGCAGGTAGTCAACATAAGTCGCCTAGCCGCCAAGCCCCAACACCCAGAAATTACAGGGTACGTAGATAGGTTTTGTAGCACGAATTGCCTATCTCCTAGGCGGCTCACTGGAGACAGCAGAGGCCGCGCTTGGTCTCAGTGGGTCCCAAGCAGCTCGTACGCGAACGACTGGGCGAAGGGGGGCTGAGTACTACTGGTGCGAAAGAGATGGTGGGAGGGGTGCTGCCACCGCACCCGCCCCGCCCGCGAGTGCGGCCCTGCCCTATCGCCCGGTGGCGTGCCGCGCCCGCGCGCTCCCCTCCCCTCCCGGTGTGTGGGAGACGAAGGGCCTCTCTCCCCCCGCTGCGCTGCGCCCCGCGCGCCGCGCGCCTCGCGCGCCCCGGCCGCCCCGACAGCACCTTCGCTCACTCTCAGACCAGACCGCGAGTCCAGACGGGTGCCACCTGCCCGTCAGCCAGTCCGTTCCCTCGACTCGCGACCCCGACCAGCATGTCCGTCGTAAGCTGAGATCGGACTGCGCGCGCGAGTGTGTGTGAGTGTGCGAGAGAAGAGCGTGATTGCTTGTGTGTGAGAGAAAAAGAGAGAGAGAGCGCAGGCCGCGAGCGCGTGTGTCGTTGTGAACGCCGCAGCCGCCGCCATGAAGTGCGTCCTGGTGGTGCTGCTGCTGGCCGCGCTGTCCGCGGGGGCCGAGGACTCGGCGCTGACGGCCAGCTTGGTGAACGGCAGCGACAGCGCTGCCCCGACGGCCACCCCTCTCCGCTCGAGCACCGACGACACCATGTCGAGCGTGGACTGGACGGCGGCCACGGCGCCACCGCCGACCCCGGCCGCCAACATGACGAGCCTCGACTTCTTGCTCGACGTGTTCAACGCCGACCGGCTGGCGCGCGTGTGGGACAAGCAGGCCAGCGTCATCACGGAGCAGTGCTACAGCGAGCTGGCCACCTTCTTCGACGCCAGGAAGCACGCGCACATCTGGGCCTTGAAGAGTGAGTGTCGTATAGGGGGTGGAGTGGGAAGGCGCGGGGTCGCCGTCGAGAACAATTATTGTTGCTTAGTCAAAAGTGGGCGTTTTGTAATTCGTGTTGATATTGCGACGGTGTAAAATAAACACCCCGACATTTAGCAAAGTCTTTGACCTAAATGCAGGTATGGATTTCATGATCGCTTTAGCAGCTAATCATTAGCTGCCCATGATTGATTGGTAGCTTGGTAGATACAACTTAACGGGATTAACTTGTCAGTACTCCTGGACAGCTCTGACGCAAGTCTCCGTTAGCTGTAATACCTTTATGTCAGGTGGCGCCCCACGAGTGGCGTCGAGGCACGAAGCAATGCTCTGTGGTTGCAAAGCAAACGCTTTGCAATTGCAAAGGATTTGGGATTTTGGTTTGCAAGGTCTTCACTGAGCGGGCAGCAACTTTGACGGCAGCGTTTGAGAGTCTAAGGCTACGCCATGTCTGAAGTCCGCGAGTATAATCAACGCCAGAGCGACATTACTAGGCGCCACTGGAGCGAGAGTGAGTCGCAGGCGGCACTTACCACCAGGAAAACACACCCCTACGGCGGCGCGACGCGGCGCGTGACAGGACCGTGATCAAGAGCAGTGCGTCTTCCATAGTGTCTTCGCCAGCCTGTACCGGGAGGAGTCCGTTTCTGGCTTAAGCAAAATGGTCTTGACTTTGAACCTGTACTTGAATATTATACATCTTGCAAAAGATTTGTACTACTTGATTAAAATCTACAGTGGCATTGATAAATGAAAATCATCTTAGATTAAGCACAATATTTAAGTACAGGCTCAGGTCAGGAACATTTTCCTTGACACGAAAACGGACTTTTTATGGGTGTGGAATAAAGGGGCGCACTCTCGTCTCGACGATATACACCAGATGGTTTGATTGGTTCCTCAGCTCGCTCTCGTGGCCTTACTTGTGCTGCGTGCGCTCTTGCCGTTCGTCTCTGGCCATGGTGCCCGAGGGTGTCCGCGATGAACTGCTCCACGTGGCGGCAACACTCACGTCGGCGCCCGCCGCGCGCTGGGTAGGCCAGCCCGCCAAGCAGCTGCGCCAAGACGGTGGCCCGCCCCATACCCCAGCTTCACCCTGCGGCTTTGGGACCGTTTGATAGTGCCTAACGTTCCGTAGCGTCACCTCCGGACTCGTTCGTTGTGGGGACACCTTTACGGCCCCGAGCGAGAGTGCAAGCGTGCACGCTCGGTGCAGCGTAGCTACGAAAGTGAATGGGACGAAACTCATGAAATGCTTGTTTTCATGTGTGTTTCGACGAACGTTGGTGATGCGAACCAGCCTTCTGCTCTTTCTCTCTAGTGCCCCGGCTCGGCTCGGCTCGTGGGTGAAGGGCTAGATTCACACGTTGTCAGTGCGTGAGTCAGGAGCTGAAAAAATAAGACTAAATGCGAAATAAAAATCGGTTCCGTGCTAATCGATTTAGCAGGCAAATTTGGCACCCCTGCCAAAAAATTAGCTATAGGATAAAATACTTAGATGTACTGCTAAATAGTATTGGCGATACAGCTAGTTCATTGCTTCAGTTTGTTGTACAACTAAAAGTTTGGCACTGAAGCTAAAAAAAATAGCTGGACCTATGCTGACGAATTTTTTGCACCAGTGCTAAAAAAAATAGCTAGGGTGCCATATTTTTTTTTCGTGTATGTGGCTGCAACGCCACACTCACCACATGTGTTGATGCATTCAACTATAACGCCAGAAAACAAAGTTTATCGGACGATGAGGTTGGTACTGCACGGCACGGCACTTTGTGAGCGACCCCACGACGACGCGCCAGCGCTACTCGTAAGCGCAAACGAGCAGCGGCCCGTCGACTCAGTGCACTGCGGGTCGCCTAAGTGCAGGCAGGGAGTTTGAATGGAATGCCTACAATTCAGGTGGTTTCGCATGTGTGTGTGGGCGGGGGGCAGCTATCTACGGCTCATCGGGTGGAGGGGGGGGGCTGCCCCTGTCACCCCCTCCCTTACAACCGGAGAGAGAGGGGGAGGGGGTAGTACGAGATGGGGAGAGAGTTGTTCTCGCCCATAATGTCTCCTCACCCCGACCAAATTACTGGCAGTCTCTCAACTTGACACGTTTGGGATAGTTTCAAGCGGTTTAAAGAGACACGGAGGTTTTGAATTTGCATGGTTTAATTAATTAGCAACCGTATTCTTGCATAATGATGTTGACTAAAGTATCAATCAAGTAGCACAATTTTTTTTTTTTGCCAGTCTCATAATTTCAACAAACAAGTTTATTTGTAAATGTGTAAATTGTGTAAATATAGTATAAATGCAGAGGGTGCAGGAGCTGCAGAAGAGTAATGAACATTAATGTTACTATTGACGATATTCCTGTGACGGGGATCAGAAGTTAAAAGTCCTTATCATTCGCGTCTTTGATTATCTTCACCTCCAGCGCCGGGCGGGCCCGGAGCAGTCGCTCTACTGCGACCTCGCTGCACTCCTCCCCCTCCCCGACCACGAGTTTTAGGGTGCGCAGGCTCGCGCTGCTCGCCAGGACCCTCAGCCCGGGCTGGTCGTGGTGAAGGGACACCACGCGCAGACGCGGCAGCCCGGCAACCAGCTGCAGTGTCGAGGCCGAGATTCTATAATACATCGAGATCGAGCATTCTACGCCGACGATGTGGACCTCCTCCAGGGTGGCGGCGTGTATTCTCACAACCGCTTCGATGAAGTTTTCGGCCCCCTTGATGGCAATATGAAATCTCCTCAATGAGCTGGGTGCAATCTCGAATTGGGTGCCCGTTTTGAAGGCGAAGGGCCGGTCCAGCCAAGCGGTCAGCTGAAGGTGCTCCAGGCCGGGTGTTGAGACCAATGCCCCGAACAACGTGGAAGCAGCAGCTTCAAACAGGGTGGATCGACGGAACTTGAGAATCACTCTCCTCAGCCGGCCCAGGGCTGCCTGGTTCTTGATCAGCCGGACCGCGTGTACACCTGCGCCATAATCTATCAAATCTACATGGTCCCTCACCTCCAGTCCTCCGACGGCACACGTGGTCGTGTACACGTGGCCGCAGACGCTTTTAAGCAAAGGGAGGACGACATTCACGTGGTGCAGGCACGGCGCCAGGCGCAGCACCGGGCAGGTCAGCCTGTTCTTGTCGCACCCGGAGCACGAGGACGTGCTCAAGGTCCTGCGCCGCCACGCCTCCGGGTGCAGCGACAACGCACCCAGCCTCCGGCACACGAGGCGGCAGGCGAGGAGGTCGCCGACGTCCAGGTGCTGCATCACCAGCAGCAGCACGTCGTCGGGCAGCTGGTCCAGGGTCCGAAGCTGCGGCGGCAGAGTGGAAGTTTTAGAGTTTTAGTCCATGGGGAATTTCAATGGAGTCCGAAAAGGAAGAGAGGAGAACCAAACCGGATGGAGGGAGATGGGGTTGGGTGCGGGGAGGAGTGGC